AACACTGTCATTACAATGGACTCAAATTGCAGTTTTGGCCTGTGTTTTGTATGCACTGTAAACTACAGCTTGTAATTGCATAGGTATTCTCTTTGTAACATTTATTCAAGGTTAACGGTGCCACAAATTTGTACATTTATTTCCTGATGACATTCTATCACAATTGCATATTCTTGAAATGCATTACTTAAGTCGCCAAACAGTTGTTTCTCCTCTGGCGTTACCAGTATGAACCAGCACTACGCCATTAATATGAATACCACAGTCGCCATTCAACGTTCCGCAATATTGGTGGACGACGTAGACGCACATTGGGGCACGAGGTTGCACTGATTCCCGAAAGGTTGTTATACCACACGCTACACGAAGCAAACGTAGATGGTTAACTGGTTAGTCCTTGTGCACATTCCTGAACCATAGGGCTGTAGAACCTCTTTACTCCAGAACCAATATAATGTTTAACAATATACGTAATGTAAGGTTGTACAAAATTAACTTGTACCAGTGAAGATTGTTTGATTTCACATTTTGTATCTCACTGACTTGGTGAATGTAGCCTGTACGTTAGGTTTTGACATGGTCAAATGTAATTATATGGTGTTGTCAGGTTGTGGTGTACATAGATTTAATTGGTCATGTATGCAGCGTTAAAATGGTAAAAATGTGAGTTTAACACTGTCATTACAATGGAATCAAATTGCAGTTCTGGCCTGTATTTTGTATGCACTGCAAACTACCGCTTGTAATTGCATAGGTATTCTCTTTGTAACATATGATGACCAAGGCCGTCAGTGAAATGACGCCTGTTCTGCAGTAGCAGCTCGCCAGGTATAAGGTCCGATTCAAGTTAATCTGCCATCTGCCCACATTTCGGTGGAGCATGGGAAAGAGAGGTGCGTTCTGTAAAGAATGACTTTTATGCCATCCTTGGTAATCGGACGGTGTCTGTCATTGTCCTATACATCAGTTTGGTTGAGGTAGAGGCTCTCCTCAACTCTAAACGCTTGGGATATGTGTCCTCAGATGTGTCCAACCCTGATCCGTCACACCTTTCACATTGCTCTTAGGGCGGCAAGACTATGCTCGGCCACAGGTGGTTTACCCTGATCAATATACAGTGCATCCGTGGTCGTCGTCATTGGTGACAATGTTAGGTATTGATGCAGCAATTCTGGAAGGAGTTTGTTGAATCATATCTTCCTTCAATGCAAGCTCGCCAGAAATGGCGAAAGGGAGAAGAGGATCTGGTAGTTTAAAATGTGGCTTTGATGATAGAACCGCAGCAGGTCCGTACGTGCTTCCTGGCCATCGAAGTACTACCTGGAGATGATTGACCAGTACGTGCTGTGAGAGTGAAAGCAGGTGATCGAGTTTACACCCGCCCGGTTGCTAAGGTGATCCGGCTGCCTGATGACACGAAAGACAGAGCTGAAGTGGCTAACACTGTCCCTTCAAATTCAAACTAGAACAAGTTGTTACTTTCATCTTCACCTACCCCATTAACATGGGGCGGCCATTTTGAAATCTTGTTCAGTCTATACTTTATTAAACGTAACCTATTACCCTTGCCAATCACTTCGCTGTTTAAAGCGTTACTGTTTTACAAAAAGTCAGTGTTCCTTAACAACCGTTTGCCTGTAGGAAGTAAGCTGTTTCTCACAGTTTTGGGGCAGCTATATTGCCAACTGCTTTGGTGAAGCGCTCCCTCTCTGGCCAGACTGCTAGCAGCGCACGGGCCACATTTTCCCAACATATGTTGGTAGGTGGATTTGATGGCGAGTTTCGTGCCTTTTTGTTGGTAATGATGACATTTTACAATACCAAAGGAACCTTGAAATCATTTATTTATTTAAGCCTCCTCAATAAAACTAAGTAAGAGCATTTATTTTCTATTCAACACTTTGCAAAATGGGGTTACGATCGGCGGAGTGTCGGAAATAGACGTACAGGCAAAACACAGGTGCTCATGACGCAAAAATAGATGAAATTGGTGTGTAATAGATTACAACTGCGTTGCAGCAATAATACCATTACTGTTTATTGACAGCTCACTTGAAATTTAAAACTATAGTTTTGACGTAAGGGGAATACCCTTCCGGTCCCGTACAGAAACACTTGTGGGAAAGGTCATTGCCACCGCAATAATACACCAGGTAAGCAAAGATTACAAAAGCAGCCTCATCCATTGTCAGACATGCAGCGCACAATAATGTACTACTGCTCTCGGTGAACTCAACATGTATACATCACAATGATACAACAGATATCCAGGCACTTGTAGAAAAAACTCAACATGTATACATCCTAATGACATAACAGATATCCAGTCACTTGTAGAAAAAAAGGTGCTGTCGGGGGAAAAAACGGTAGACACAAGGGGCATACACTTCAACGAAAAACGCGCAGGAAGGCCCGGAGGAAAGTTGTGATCGAATTATACCACCTGCACGCCGTGTAAAAGCTGCCTCGCTTTTCAGTTAGTAGCATTACATTTATTAGAATATTATAAATTGCCGATATGAAATTGGAACAAACACAATGTCAGATTATACAATGCTACAAATTGTTCTACATTGGTATACTCACCTTAAATCATGATTTGCAAAATAACTGGAACAGGATGGTTTGGATCAGAGTCGCAGATACAGAACAGCTAGAGGAGTGGAAACGCGTGTGGTGAATAAATGGCGACGACGTGACGTGCAATGCAGCGTGAATCGAAAGACACTATTAAGTACTAACCGCTGAAGCTGTTCGGCCCACTTCGGTCTCTCGGCTTCTCTCCACATATGCCGTATGCACCGCCACAAATAGAGAGAAACCAAGTGACGTAGTGGGCCGAACAGCTGCAGCAGTTGGTGTCTTTGTGAATTCAAATTTACCGCATTGCGCAGACGCAAAATTTTTGACTGGTTCCTTCTGTTGATTCTATCCTATATATTTCGGACGGGAACCAATTTACCAATTTTTGTACGTATCGCCGAAGTATATGAAACTCCATATATACAACTGCTGCAATATATGTCGGTTACATAAATTGTATAAGTTTTAAAAATAATAATCGAAAAACATGTACAATTTTATATAAACATTGTTTTGTTTTTTATATCCTTAATTATAGCCATGGGTTTGGGTATAGATTTTCTTTCTAATTTATCGGAAATAAATGTTTAATTGAATATGGCTGCAGATAATTTGAATAAAACTAAAGTTTCCTGAACGTGACAATATAACATTACATTCTGATGTTGTTAATCGTTCAAATAACGTCAGAAAAACACGTTAGCAACACAACATTTCAGCAACCTTAGGATAACGTCATCAAAAAACATCTCCCTGACTTCGCAAAATACGGTATAAAAATGACGTTGTGGTGACGTTGAAATAACGTCAGTTGCCCGACGTTAAAAGCAAACATTTAAAAGACGTCAAGACAACGTCATCGGAAAAATCTTCCGAACTTCGCAAAATAAGGTGTAAAAATGACGTTGTCGAGACATTGAAATAAAGTTAGTTGCCCGACGTTAGAAGACAGATATTCAAAAGACTTTAGCATAACGTCGTCAAAAAACATTTTCCCACGAAGTCAAGTCAAGGTCGGAATTTGACGTTACAATAAGGTCCTGATAAGGTCATTGTCTAACATGACCAAACCGTAACTTTCCAGTAACGTTATGGTGACGCTATGTGTTTGCTGGGATGTCGGTAGGTGGATTTGATGGTACGTGAGTTCCGTGTCTTTTGGTTTGTAATGATGACATTTTACAATACTCAAGGAACTTTGAAATCATTCACTTATTTAAGCATCATCAACGACGCTAAATATGAGCATTTGTTTTCCATTCATTATTTTGCAAAATGGTGGTATTTTTCCATTCGACACTTTGCAAAATGGGGTTACAATCTGCGATGTGTCGGAAATAGACGTAGTTCCGTTTCTTTTTGCCCAGTAACGTTAACCACGTACGTGTATACTTATCAGCGGGTTAAGATAATTAATTTCCTGCTCTAGTGCTTTTCTTTTTCTCTTGATTTAGACAAATTAGAGGGAAGGAACTACCTGTAGTATGTAATCTTCTCCAAGTTTATCCACCAACCGAACTGGCATGTTGTGTATAGCAAGCAACCATGACCACGAAATAAAGTTTACTTGAACACTGCAACCAACGAAAATTGGCCACAATATTCTTCACTTAAGCACTTTCCTGGTCAAGATGAACTCTCTCTAATCGCTGAACAGACGAGTTGCAAGCAGGTCAGGGGCCCTAATGCACAATGTACAGATAAAGCTTCGCCTGTAGTCCCATAAAGTCTTCTCAACAGTTTTCTCCTATTATCTATAAGTTGTTTTACTCTAGGTTTCTAGAACCTCCTAACAACAAAACTTAACAACAGAATAGCCATGCAGATAAATCTAGCATGCCAGCAAAAAAGTTCTGGTCATTTAAACGTACGCTTTGAGCATGAAATACAGGCAACACAGGTGCTCATGAAGCAAAAATAGATGAAATTGGTGTGTAATACATTACAACTGCGTTGCAGCAATAATACCCTTACTGTTTATATACAGCTCCCTTGAAATGTAAAACTATAGTTTTGACGTAAGGGGAATACCCTTCCAGTCCCGTACAGAAACACTTGTGGGAAAGGTCATTGCCACCGCAATAATACACCAGGTAAGCACAGATTACAAAAGCAGCCTCATCCATTGTCAGACATGCAGCGCACAATAATGTACTACTGCTCTCGGTGAATTCAACATGTAAACATCACAATGATACAACAGATATCCAGTCACTTGTAGAAAAAAAGGTGCTGTCGGGGGAAAAAACGGTAGACACAAGGGGCATACCCTTCAACGAAAAACGCGCACAGGAAGCCCCCAGAGGAAAGTTGTGATCGAATTATACCACCTGTACGCCGTGTAAAAGCTGCCTCGCTTTTCAGTTGGTAGCATTACCAAGGATATATTCTGGGTGCGTCGATCATGGCCTGTCTGGTACTACTTCTCGCCTTCGCAACCTCGGTGGTCGGGATGAACTCAACGGGGGACGCCTGTGATGTGTGCGAGTGTATCGAGAATCTGCACACAGTCAATTGTACTGGCAGAGGCCTCAGAGAACTACCCACAGGCATCCCCAACGACACTGTGTCACTGTAAGTATTACAGTTAATATAACTCAGTCTCTCTTGCGGTGCGTACCATCGGCAAACTGTGACTGGCAGTCAGTGAAAAGGCAAATGTCAAAAATATCTCAAGCAGCAATCAAAGCAACAAATAATAATTTGAAAAGTACAACCAATAACGTAACGAAAATATCTCCCTTACCAATGTAGTAAGAACAGGTACATTTTGATAAAAGACAGTAACTGAGCATTTTATTGACAACATGAGAAGGGGATTTATACTGATCTAATGCTTAGAAAGACAAGTCTAAAATCAGGTCAGTTGAATCAGAAATTTAAGGCTGATTTAAGGCACCATAATTCAAAGAGGTTTTTTTTGACAAATAACAGTTGCGTTCTCAGACTTGGCACTGAATAAAACTCAGTGGAATGAGAGTCACATAAAAATGTTGGAAGCTGCAGATTCTCAAA